TAGATCACTGGTTGGCACTTGGATGTTCACTTTAAGAACTGCCCCAAGAGCCCTCCATGAACTTACCTTCAACACTACTTCTGTCAGTCTGACTTGTTCAATCCAAATGAAGATTAAAATCACCCAAGATTACTGAGTTGCTTGAGATATTAAGTCAGATGATGAAAAGTTTGGTCAATGAGGTAGTTTCTAAGGAGCCCTTGAGAAGCGGAATGCAACGTAAAGGCGTAGGTGGTTTAGGGTTAGGGAATTCCAGAGTTTTTTTAATTTGGTGTGGGCATCACTGACTGGGTATTTTATTATCCATCCCTAATCACCCAGAGGGCAGTTAAAAGTGAGGTAGCAAGAACTGCAGATGCTGGAGTCAGAGATAACACAGTGTGGAGCTGCAGGAACACAGCAGGTCAGGCAGCATTAGAAGAGCAGGAAAGTTGATGTTTTGGATCAGGACCCTTCTTCGGAAGTCAAAAGTTAAAAGTGAACTGCTGTGGTTTGGTGTCACATGTAGGCCAGACCAAGTAAGGATACCAGATTTCCTTCTCTAAAGGAAATTGGTGAATCATCTGAATTGGAATGGGACCAACATTCTTGCTAGGTGGTTTGCTTATGCAGTTGGTGTGGGTTTAAACTAATTTAAATTACTGGGATAGGATATAGAGGCAGAGTAGGGGAGTGACGCACAGAGATGTATAGAAGAAAAATTGAGTTTGTCAAGAAAGCAGTCCAAATATAGTCAAGTGAAGGCATAAGGAAGCATGGCAAGGCTGGATGGTATTTATTTTAAAACAAGGAAGTTTGTGAGTAGGGCTGATGAGTTGAAGGTGTTGAGTAAAACATCAGAATGTGACGTCATTGTTATTATACAAATAGGCCATATGTGTGGAACTTGAAAAAGACTGAATATCCACCCTATCCACACCTGTCATAATTTTATATACTTCTACTAGGTCACCCCTCAGCCTCTGATGCTGTAACGGAAACAGTCAAGTTTGTCCAACTTCTGCTTGTAGCAAATATACTCCAATCCAGGTAACATCCTGGTAAACTATTTTGCACCCTCTCCAAAGCCTCCACATCCTTCCTGTCGTGTGGCAACCAGAACTGCACGCAATACTCCAAATGTGGTCTAACTAAGGTTTTGTACAGCTGCAACATGACTTTCTAACTTTTTTACTCAATGTTCCAGCTGATGAAAGCAAGCTTGCCGTATGCCTTCTTTATCACCTTATCTACATGTGTTGTGACTTTCTTGGCGAATGCTGATGTGAAGTACTCATATTAAGAACTTCACTCACTTCCTCTGCCTCCATGCATAAACTCCCTACCTTAGATGACAGGAGGCTTAGATGGGATGGTTAGCTGGGCTGAACAGAAGCAAATGGAATCTAAATCCTGAAAGTTATGAGATGATACATTTTGAAAGCCTAACAAGACAAGGGAATACACATCGAATGGTAGGACCCTTAGAAGTCACAGCTGAAGTATTGTGTGCAGTTCTTGTTGCTAAACTAAAGAAAGGATGCCTTTGAACTGGGGAGGGGGTGCAGAAGAGATTCACCAGGATGTTGCCCTGGGCTGGAGCGATTCAGCTATGAAGAGGATCTAGATAGGCTGGGGGAGCAGAGAAGGCCGATGGCAATTGGGGGCAGGGAATCTGACTGTGACATACATCTCAGGGGTTCTGAGGGGCATAGACAGGATGGGTGGGGAGAAACTTTTCACATTAGTAGAGGATTCAATAATCAGGGGCACAGTTTTAATGTAAGATGCAGGAAGTTTTGAGGGAATTTGAACAAAAACTGAGGGTTGTGGGTGTCTGGAACTCGCTGCCTAAAACGGTGGTGGAAGCAGGACCCCTTAAGGCACTTAAGAACTATTTAGTGGAGTACTTGACGTGCCATAGCATGGAAGGCTACAGGGCCAAATGTTGGAAAGTGGGATTAAAATAGATGGATATTTGATGACTGACGTGGACATGGTGGGCTGAAGGGCCTCTTTCCGTAATATAAAACCTCTGCTATTCTATGATGGATGTGATTTTACAAAATTGTCAGTGATTACATGGTTACTACCAGACCAGCTTTTTATCTCTGATTTTTTATTGAATTGAAATTTCGCTATTTGCCAAGGCTGGATTTGAACCCATGTCCCCAGAACATTTGTCTGGGATTCTGGATTATTTGTCTTATGACATTCCCACTAAGCCACTGTCTATCTTGGGACCTGGGTCAATGAAGACATGGCCCAAATGTAAGACTCGGTTTCTTTTCTTCAAAGTCTGTGGGCTTTTCTTGCAAGTCTGCAATTCAGTGTCGTTTCTAGTTATCATTGAGATAAATTTATAGTGGGCTTTGTTCTTGAACCTTGTAATGAACGTGTAAGCACATTGTTCTTGAGTAGCATTTTGCAGGATTCTGACCTTATGGCAGTGACCAGTAGATAGAGTCATAGAGTCATGCAGCATGGAAACAATCCTAAATAAATAGTTCACATCAGTATCAACAATGGCAACCACAAAACTACCTAATTGGATGAGGTACTAAATGAATATTTTGCGTCAGTGTTTACTATGGAGAAAGATATGGAAGCTAGGGAATTTGGGGATATAAATAATGATATCTTGAAAAGAGTCCACATTACAGAAGAGGAGGTGCTGAAGGTCTCAAAACACATAAAAGTAGATAAATCTCCAGGACCTGATCAAGTGTATCCTAGGACATTGTGGGAAGCTAAGGAAGAAATTGCGGGGCTCCTAGTAGAGATACATCTATCATCGACAGCCATGGGTGAGATGCTGGAAGACTGGAGGGTGGCTAATTTTGTGCCATTACGTAAGAAAGGCTGCAAGGAAAAGCCAGGGGAACTACAGACCAGTGAGCCTAATGTCAGTGGTCGGTAAGTTGCTGGCGGGGATTCTTAGAGACAGGATCTACATGCATTTGGAAAGGCAAGGACTGGTTCGGGATAGACAACATGACTTTGTGCTTGGGAAATCGTGTCTCACAAACTTGATTGAGTTCTTTGAAGAAGTGACGAAGAAGATAGATGAAGGGAAACAGGTAGTCGTTGCCTATATGGACTTTAGCAAGGCCTTCGACAGGGTTCCACATAGTAGGTTGCTTAGTAAGGTTAAGTCACATGGGATCCAGAACTAGAAAAATGGATACAATATAGGCTTGACAGTAGGAGACAGAAGGTGGTGATAGGGGGTTGTTTTTCAGACTAGAGACCTGTGACCAGTGGTGTGCCACAAGGATAGGTGCTGGGTCCACTGTTGCTCATCATTTATATAAATGATTTTGATGAGAATATAGGAGGCATGGTTAGTTAAGCTTATGGATGACACCAAAATTGGTGGTATAGTGGGCATTGAAGAAGGTTATCGGAGTACAACAGGATCTGTATTAACTAAGCCAGTAGGCAGAGGAATGGCAGATGGAGTTCAATACAGATAAATGCAAGGTGTTGCATTTTGGTAAGACAAACCGGGGCAGGACTTAAGACAGTTAATGGTAGGGCCCTGGGAAGTGTTGTCAAACAGAGAGACCTAGGGGTGCAAGTACATAGTTCCTTGAAACTGGTGTTACAGGTATACAGGGAGGTGGTGAAGGCATTTGGCACGCTTGCCTTCATCAGTCAGAGCATTGAGTACAGGAGTTAGGATATCATGTTATGGCTGTACAAGACATTGGTACAGTCACATTTGGAGTACTGTGTACAATTCCAGTTGCCCTGCCATAAGATGAATGTTATTAAACTGGAAAGAGTGTAGAAAAGGTTTACAAGGATGACACCAGGACTGCACAGTTTGAGTTCTAGGAAGAGGCTGGATAGGCTCAGGGACTTTTTTTCCCTGGAGTGTAGGAGGCAGAGGCGTGACCTTTATAGAGGTTTATAAAATTGAGGGGCACAGATAAGTTGAACAGCCAAAATCTTTTCCCCAGGATAGTTGAGTTCAAAACTAGAGGGCAAAGGTTTAAGGTGAGAGGGGAAAGATTTAAAAGGGACCTGAGGGCAACTTTTCACACAGTGGATGGTGCATATACGGAACGAGCTGCCAGAGGGAGTGGTAGAGGTGTGTACACTCACGACATTTAAAAGACATTTGGGCAGGGACATGGATAGGAAAGATTTCGATGGATATGGGCCAAATACAAGCAGTGGGACTAGTTCAGTTCAGAAAACTAGCTCGCTGTGGATGCGTTGGGCTGAAGGGTCTGTTGCCATATTTATTCTTTCATGTAAATTTATTAACAGACTCTATTAATGGATGATTTCAACAAAACAAATATAAATTGGAATGTCCAAATTGCTTAGAGCTGGAGCTGGTAAGTGCTCTCTTTTCCAATTCATTTGGAAACTGAGAAGAGGTAGTCCTCACCCTGACTTGTGTGAAATGAGCTGATAGCATTTTGATAGCAGGTAGAACCTGGGAGATATTGCACAGGTCAGTGACTTCAACATGATTAATTTCAAGATTACTTTGGATTTCAGTCCACAACACCCAAGAGCATTATTTTATCGCGGCAAACAACAAATGTATGGGGTAACAGACAAAGTGTTTTCTAAATTGAGTACATTGTAGCACCTATCATCCTTAACTGGCCAGACATAGAAAATTGTCCTTTTCCATTCTCTCTATTAAAATCCTTTTCATAGTTTTAAAAAGCTTCTGTTTAATAGAGTCTTAACTTTTTTCTGTCTCAATATTTCCAATTTCTTTTTAGTATTATATTTTCTCATCCTCGGCATTGTGCTGAGGGTAATGCATTTTTTCTTCCTTTGTCTCAAACACACTGCACAATTTCTTTTTAACTTGCTGGTAGTTCAGAAGCAAGAAAATCAATAAACAAAGTGTTGAAATCTCCTTTCACGGTTGTCAAATTTAATGAACGGTGAGCACAAGTGACTGAAAATAATATAAGGGGACATTGGGTTTTACTTTAATAAAATTGAGAACTTTTTCTATTTTGTAACCAGTTTTAATGTTCGGTTGGTAGGTTCGTGTGGCACTGAAGAATGCAGAAAAGGAGTTGGAGGTTCGCAGTGCCTGGGCACTGCCAGAAACTCTGCAGAAATGGTTGCAGCTTACTCATGAAGTAGAGGTTCAATATTACAACATTAAGAAACATAGTGCTGAATTACAACTCAATGCTGTAAAAGAGGAGGTAAGTGTAACATTAGGCACAATATTTAGTGATTTCTTCAAGCAGACATGTGAAATGCAATCAAAGTGTTCTTTAGTTCAGTGACAATGTGCTATTTGTAATAATTTAGAGGAAAGTAGACCATTCATAAGCGCTGTGGAAATTTATTTATTTAGTTTATTTTATAATAATAAACTGGACAACTCATGAGCAATGAACTGTGATTGACCAACTAAGTATTATGTAATTTATTTGTACAGTGAAGATTTAAATTACTTTTATATGGATTATCAGAGACTCTAATATAATTTGACTGCTGTTTTTAGGCAGAGAAGATTAAGAAGAAGCGTAACACTGTATTTGGAACATTCCATGTGGCTCACAGTTCCTCTCTGGATGAGGTTGATCACAAAATCCTGGGAGCAAAGTAAGATTCGCATTGTCTTAATAAATATTCTTTTACTTTTGTGTTCCAAGCTTTGTGCTGGTGATTTAATTGATCGTGCTGTAAGTCTTCTCTGCATTGGAGCTTGCATATGCGTTAAGTGTAAGTGAGGATATCGCATTTTTCTGTAATAGCTGAAATGGTGATAAAATGCTTCTAAACCTTCTAGGAGTAAACCTTGATGGTCACAATGATAAAGGCGAAAGAGTAAGATGGTCATAAACAAGATCAGGAGATCTTAATATTGACATCACAGAGACCTGTACAGGCTTGCAACCTGCTAACAAAGTCCCAACAACAAACCCATTGATTACACATGATTAAGGTGACCAAGACTAAGGGAGTTCCAGATGCCTCATATCCTTGCGCCTAGACTGTGTTGTATAGAGTGCATGTTCAGAGCAACAGCATGCATGTGGTAGCCACTGAGTGGCTTGCTGAGCCTACCTCTCCATCACAGTCATCAATCTCTTCGGAAAGAAGCAAATGCTCTCACACCTGAGACATGGCAGCCTAATGGCTTAATCTGTAAATGATTGTCTGTAGCCACTAACATATCTGCCAAGTGATCCCCTGTCTCTCGCTGCACCTCCATTAGGTTTCATATAGCTGTGACCAGACCCCCAGCATCAGCTTCTAACAGTCCTCTAACTGTCAGCTCCCTTGATTTCCATAAATTACATTTCCTTTATGTCCAGTGGTCAACACCACACTTGAAGAATCCTCACTCTCTTCCCTCTTTAATTCCCTGCTGTCTGACTCATTTCACTGCCATCTCCTGTGAAGGTATGACTGTCCTTGTATCAAGTTCACCTCTACCCATCTGATGACTGAAATCTGAGACCACTCTAATGGGTTTGTTGCACATGATTTCTGAAGACTGTCATCTGTGATGTGGGGGACCTCAGATAGAATTCAAGGTGAACTGAGGTATCCACTCAATACTTTTGGTTCAAAATGGTTGTAAATTCTTCAGCTTTGTCTTTTGCACTGATTTGCTGGGCTGCTCTATCGTTGAGGATGGGGATGTTTGTGGAACCACCTTCTCCAGTGAGTTGACCACCACCATTTACAACTCAATGTAACACAACTGTGGAACATAGATTGGATCTATTGGTAGTGGGATCACTTAGCGTTGTCTACCACTTGCTGCTTCTGTTTATTGGCACACAAGTGATACTAACTTCACCTCATTTCTAAGTATGCCTGGTGCTACATCAGGCATGCCTCTTGCACTCTTCACTGGAGCTGGGTGTATTGCCCATATGTTGATGTTGATGGTGATGGTAGAGTGGTGGATATGCCAAGCAATGAGGTCATGGATTGTGGTTGAATACAGTAATACTGTGGTTGATGACCCATGGCATGTCATAGATGCCACTTTTCAAGTCTCTCGATCTGCTTGAAATCTATCCAGTATTGCACACTGGTATTGCTCGACAGCACAATGGTGGGCACCCACCGTGTGCAGACAGGAATTTGTCTCCACAGACGTTTTGTGGTGGTCACTTCAGCCAGTGCAGTTGGTTTTGCTATAACATGATAGTTGTGTTCCTGTGCAACATCGTGTTACAGAAAATCGTGCCATAGAAATAACGGTGCCTATGGGAAAAGCAGGGTTAGGGGCAGACCGCCAAAAAATGCCACTCAAAATCACTCAAAAATCACTCCAAAGCCTAACACCAAAGATAGCACTGTTTCAATAAATGTTCAATTCATGCCTAATAATGAAATAAAAGTAAATTTGATACCTTACCATGAAAAAATGTCAAGGTGACTTGATGGGGGAGGAGGTTTGAGGTTGCTCTGTTAATGCAGGGACTGAGGGTCATCATCATCATCACCTTCGGGTGCATTTGTGGTTGCAGGGTTAGGACGAAAATCAGTCAATCCAGAAGTGAATAGCTGGTTCATTGTCTTCTGACTATTTCTTGGGGGTTGGCTTAAAAAAGACATCCAGTTTTTGCTGCTTTGCCCTTTTTCTTCTTTCATGAAGATGCTGTTCATTGGGTGCCAAATAAGAGCTTATTCCATGAACTGCTACCCTGCTGGGTTCTGCATTGTAATCATTGTCCTCTAAGAGCTGCAGCTGCTCCTCAATTTCCCTCAGGATAGAAGATAAAAGAGAAGTGGAAAGCCCTCATGGTGCTGCATCCTGGACTTCATCATCTTCATCTCCAGCTTCCACTTCCCCCTCAGTGACAAGTTGTGGTAGAGTAGCTGTAGAGAGGTCTTCACAGTGGGACTCGAGCAGCTCTTCAACATCCTCACTCTACACTCTTCCTATCATGTTATAGCCAACACAAGTTCACGTTTTAGAAATAGCATTCCCCTATTCATCAGTCGTGTTGTAGCCGATTTGCGTTGCTAGAACATACGTAATAGCAGAACCGACTGTACTGTCATGGGCAGATACATCTCTGATGGCTAGATGGTGGAGGACAAGGATAAGAAGGTTTTTCCCTCTTGTTTCTCTCGCCATCTGTTGCAGACACCCAGTCTGTTTAGCTATGTTCTTACTGACTCTGCCAGCTCAACCGGTAGTGGGTTTACTAAGTGATTGTTCATGTTGGATGTTGAAGTTTCACAACCAGAATGCAGCAGGCATCCTCAGTGCTCCTTCACATTAGTGTCTAATGTTCTTGACAACATAATGAGCTCTTCTTCAATCTAATACTATCTTTAATTCACTTTCCAGCTACAGTTGGACACATTTCCCGAGGGTTTTTATTTCCAAAGGGAATGTATATTTATTGTATATTATGAATTTTTAAAATGTTTACCATTGTTCATCTGGCGTTGTATCTT